CCTACTTCTGGCAAAACTACCATCTGTGGGCAATATAATATCTCATCTATTGTCACAGTATATTCCACACAGCATTCTTTCTGACCAAGGCATGTACTGCATGACCAAAGAAGTGCCACAACAGCTCACACTTATGGCCTTACATGTTCCCCACTACCCAGAAGCTGATGGACTGATGGAGCTGTGGCATCACCTTTGGAAGATGGGGACCATACCTCCAGGACTGGGCCAGGCTCTCCAGAGGCTGTATGTGCTCTTAACTGGTGGCCAGTACATGGTAGTGTTTCTCCCCTGGTCAAGATTCATGAGCCCAGGAGTTAAGGGTGGAAAAGGTATAGCATTCCTCACATTACCTTAGAACACAAGCCAACACCTAGAGGATAACAGAGCAGACATTAAAATGAGCTTGTCTGAGCAAAATTTGTGTTAGCCTACATCTTGTCTTTAAGTCACCCTTAGTGGTATTTCCAGTGACTCACTGCCCAAAGCATTCTTGATTATTCACATTTTTCTAGGAAACTACTTGAGTAATGTTAGCATAAAATGTTTTCCAGATTTACTCTGGACATCTAAATTTTTTGGCTTCATTTAGAAACCTGATGTCCATTCTGCTTTGAAAATCTCATTTGACCTGCTCTCTCCCCTCACTGATTTTATCTCTGCTTTCATTCCCTCCCTAGTGCCTAGGGGTAGGTGTCTTTCTTATTCTCCATTATTTCCACGAGTTCTTTCCTAAACCATCACAGGTCTTTGTAATACAAGGTCCTGAGACTTTACTAGCCAATTCTTAAGTTTCCTATCTTGGTTTTTTACCTTGGTTCCAATTTCCTATCAAATTCTAACCTTGCTTCACATTGTTAGGTAAAATTAGCCCCAGATCATATTTTGATTTTGTCATTCTTGACTTGAATATATCTCTTGGTGTTCATCCAACCTTGGCCATGTCCTTAGACTCCTCAAATCCAGCAACACTCTTGCTCTCCATCCTTCTCCTCTGTAAAGGTGAGGAGGAAAATCAATGAGACCTGGGGCCAGAAAGTGTCTATTTAGAACCCCAGCCCAGTCCTCTTTTGAATTATACCACGGTGCCTCACGGTCACTCAATATTTAGGGAGAAATCCACCCCAGCATCTCTACATTCAATGACTGACCCCAGTAAAGATAATGGGATGAGTTGCTTTTGTTACTGTCGGAAGGTCAAGATATCTTGGAGAGGAATATCACCAAGGAAAAATCAATAGCAGTTTTTATAAGTGTCAGTGGAAAATGCCAATTAAAGCAAGTATAGAAAATTAATAACCTTTTTGAGTATTTCAAATTGTGTTATGATTAAATAGAAGCTGTAAAATGACATGTTACCCAGGAAAGGACAAAACAGTCAAGGATACTTACTCATCTGATAAATACATTTTAAACATTCCATTCATCAAGTCATAATGTTGTTAAGGTTGTGTGTTCAAAACACCCCCACACCCTAGCGTAGTGGGTTCTTGTCATGTATGGATTCAGTAAAATACTTATCACTGAGCCCTTACATTAGGAGAGGTCAGAAAGAGGCAGAGTGTATCTGCGAAGAGAAAGTGCAGCAAAGTGCTTTTTTACGGAGACAGTGGAGTACTATGTTTTCTACGGAATTAAGTGAATACACCTAGAAGACAAGTCCAGATATGCCGGGCATCTAGACAAAGGCTTCCTGCTGATCCTGGGTGGCAGGGTGTCTCTGGTAGCCATGGTGAAGTTGGATGAGTTTAAACATTACATGCTGGAAATTGCTTACAAATGAGTCAATAATGAGTCTCTTGCCTTTAGTGAAGCTGGGTGAAAAATGTTTCAAACTCAGATTTGGAAAATTATGCTTTGAGTCACAAAGGTTCCAGCTACTGTTGATTAAAGAAAAAAAAATCTTCAGATTCTCCTTTCTGTAGTGGGGTGGGGAGGGGGAATACAAGCACGAAGGCCAGTAACACTCAGGAGAAAGACTTCTTAGTGGACTGAGTAACAGGAATCCATTAATTTCTCAAAATTGTAACTGTGTCCAAGTTTGGGAGCAAACTTATCCTGGTTGGAGGGCAGGTATGCGCCAGTGCCATGGAGGAGCACACGAGGACTCTTCTAACAGTGGGCTCATCTCCCAACAGGACAGTAACGCGCTACCCCAGTATACCTCAGCAGCTCATCAAGTCAAAATCTTTTGAACTCTCTGGGTCTCAGAAGACATCGCTCTCCTCTTTTCCTCAATCAACCTTTCTGCTCTCAGGTTACCACTGCCATTCAAGAACAGGAAAGTATGTCCTTCTTACACTTGTGTGTGAGATGGTGGCTTCTATAGAGGAAAAGGCCATCTTTTCTTGCTCTTGGGGCTAACGATGGTTGTGTGCTCTGGGACTTTTCTTCCTCCCAGTGTCCTGTGTCTCTAGTAAGCCCTTCTCTTGCCTCTTCCCGACAGGTTCTGAAAATTCTGTCCTTATTCTATGGAAAGGACAACTTTATTTTAGCTTCGGGGACCCTCAAGACCCAGCCTGGTGAACTCATCTGGGGTTATGATGGGAGGCTGATTAACTGACTCATAGGCAGTAATTAGAATGGCTTACCTTCCTTTGGAGAAAAGAACACACAAGTGCAGATAAAAATTTTAACATTTAAAATTGTATGCAGGGTTAATTACTTCATTTCATAGGTGGGCACATGTTCAAGCTCCAAAAGACCATTTGTGTGTGTGGCCGAGGAGGGCACAACACAGAAGGAATGAATGTGTGCATCTGTGTGTACGTGCGTGTGTGTATAGTGGGGCCGGGGGCTTGGGGGCACTAGCTGACCACGTGAGCCAGAAAACACACCCGACAGCCTGCTTTCCTAGCTATACAGCAGGAAAGACTATAATACCCACTAAGATAAAAATGCTTCAGACTGAAGAAAACAAACAAAAGCCCCGACACACCCAAACTCCTCAGGCTCGTGGACGGTAGGGAGAGAATCCACGCTGTGCCCCGTTTGCTGCCTTCTCCTGATGACCATGGAGTTTTACCACACCCACTTGCAGACTGAGTAGTCACCTAAAGAGGTCTTTCCAAATCTCAATTAAAACATTTTTCTCTAAAAGAAAAATTTCGGTATGACCTGAAAGTCATTTGCCTTAAAACAACTCTGCTCTATAATGAAAAGTCATTTCTCTTCTGTGTGGTCAGATGCAACTTTTCTTTTGGTCCGGGGATTTTTTGTCCTAGGCGACACTGCCCCCTGCTGTGACGGACGCCCAACTGCAGGAAGTATTCTTACTCTAATAGATGTGCAGATCTGGTCTTCTAAATATGTACTGCTTGTCATGACGTACCAATTACTGTCATACTGTCTCTCAAGTAAATGTTTAAAAAGAAAAGGGTAATAAACAAAAACAAGAGACAAGAAAAATATTGTCACAGGACTGTCCTGCTACAATGGTGTATATGGTTAGATTTCTAAATTTCAGTGTAAAAATATGTAACTATTCCTATTTAAAAAAATTAAAACTTTTTTTCTTAATATTCTGTAGAGACTTAAAGTTTAACTTATCAATACTTGACAGAAAATACCTGTTCCATGTTATGCCTAAGATATTTGATATTCAGACAGATAGTAAGGTTAACCTCAACTGCCTATGTTATAGGGCAGTAAGCTTCTCTTCTGGAGGGTTAACAACCTAAGTTTGCAGACCAAAAATTAGAGAAATAGAAGGGCTGCAAGAACGGTCAACATTTTGGCCCTAGCCATTCAAGGTCAGTGAGGACTCAGGGCATAAGCCAACCTGTACTGTAATATTCTGTAACTCAGTTGTGTCCCAAATTTTCTGATCAAGGAGATGATTATGGGGCCACAGAGGAAAGTGATCGATGATGGAGAGTGTGCCGAAGGAGAGTCACATGGAGAAAAAAACATTCTCTCAGGCTTTCACAGAGAGCAAATTGGTCAAGCAATGGCCGTGAGTCATCTACATGGCTGACACTCACAAAGGATCTACAAACTGTGGTGCAGGGTTTCAGGGTAAATCCTGAGGGGATCTGACTGACCTTATCAGATACAAAAGCTACATTTCTTGTTATATAGGTCTTGCTATATCTTGGTCTTAACCATCCAACAGAGAAGTATAAAAAGTAAAGCCATATTCATAGGCTGAGCTGTAAAAGGCTCAAGTCAACAACTTCTGACATTGCCAGTCTTATGGAAAACCCACTACTATTATGGACTACTGGACTGTATTGGAGCATTTTGCCCAACTCACGCACCTACGATACTTAAATGACAATGGAATACCCTTCTCTGACAAAACTAAACAAAAAAGGGGATACAAATGAAGGACCATTTTGTATCTGTATATTCAAAATAGGATGGGTATACAGCTACATTCTCTTAATTCAATAAATAGAGATTTGTTCTAACAGTGTTTGTGGACAGGATATCATGTCAATCTTGTACAATGAATAACAACTAAGACAACAATATGCAATGTATTATTGAAACTGTGCTAGTAATCGGTTTTCAAACTGTCTCACTGCCATTTGTTTCTCAACAAAGTTATTTAAAAAAATAAAAGATGTGCAGAGAACACAATTTTTAAGACTTTATTTTGAATAATATATCATGATTTATCCCATTTAATTTTCATAGTGCATAGCTACGTATGGCAGTATATACGGGAAAAAAACCATCAGAAATACCCCAAACAGAAGTCTGTTAGAAGAGACATTTTATGTATCGATGAATGTGAATGAAATATTGTAACTCAGAATCCATTAGATAAGCTTAAGAATCGTGCAAAAAAGATGGTGGGGAAGAGCAGTAAGTGCAACTTATAGTGTTCTGCATATAAAAACTACACATACTCTTTGGATTAAAGATAATGAGTTTGGTTATGTCTTGACAAAAACCTGTTAAAGAGGTGTGGATATTGTCATGCTGTACGTGATAACAAAATACTCAAGGCCCCAGGGGAAGGTCACCAGCGCTCGGAGACTGACGCGAGGTAGGTCAAGCACAGTACAGAGAAACGGGACAAAGACGACGCCACCTTTGCCTAAGTCAGCAAAGCCAGCGAAGGGGCGCCAGAACAGCTCTACCTGCGGCACTACGCTTCGTGTTCCCTGCTGAAGAGGTGCACTGTGCGTGTGCAAGCTCCGGGCTCCCTCCGCACTACAAGCTCGGTGAGCAAGACCAAGCACTCAGTGCGTAAGGCCTCGGCATCAGGACAAGTTTAATTTCATACATGAAAGAACAGAAAGAATGTAAACTTAGAAATGGCCTTCTTTCCATCCAAGACGCCAACCTTGCCTTTGTACAAACTGTCTTGGCACCAGCGGTGCAGGGACGCAGTCAAGCTTCCAATTCCAAGACTTCCCATTTAGGAAGTTACGGAAAACTAGAGGTCACCTTTATTTTTAAAATCAAATGTTTAATGAAGATTTTTGAAGTTAAGATAGAAAAATCTGCTAGGAAAAGTAAAATCTTCTGGTTGCTTTTATTATATTCTTTTTATTTTCTTCGAGTGGCATTTTGCAGTAGCAAGGCAGGCCGCGCTGGCTGGGCTGGCTCGGAGCCGCCCGCCGCCCTCCGCTGCTCTCCTAGCACATCCTCTTCTTGCACTCCGCCGAGCAGAACACCATGCCCTCCACAGGCATGAACTTCTGCCCCATGAGGCACTTGCTGCAGCACGAGCACAGGAAGCACTCTGCGGACGCGTGCCAGCTGAAGCCGTTGTAGGTCACCCGCTGCACTTCCGGGTCGATGGCGTTGTGGCAGCCCTGGCACACCTGCTCAGGAACGATAAAGGTGGGGGAAAGGTGAGCCCTCACGCAGCGGCAGCAGCACGTGCACCTGAAGACAAACGAACAGGCTTCCTCGCACGGTAAGCTACAGCAGGACGGCGGCCGCGACAGCACGCACACGGAGAGGCCGGCTAGCTCACCCTGTCGGCCATACGCCACACGCTGCGAAAAACAGCGGGCAAAGACCAGACAGGTAATTTACAGGGCGTCTCGAAGGCAGCCGTAAGCAGCACGCGTGCTTTCAGCAGACCCTACTGGCTGGCGCACTGGTAATCATAAAGCAGTGGCTTGGGTGATGCTCCCCTCACTCAGGACAGCTCTGAAGTGGGCATCTGTCTTCCCTACAACATACGAGATTATCATCATCGCTAATTTCTAGACAGTGGTCAATTAGAAAGAATCATGTTCAAGGTAATTAAGGACTCAATTAAAAACACTGACAGTGTTTTAGAATAATGAATTTGCACTAAAAATAACTCAGTTAATTGGCTTCTGTTCTGTCAGAAGTCAGAACTTATGCATGACCTACTATGTACAACATTAGTACCTACATTCCCTGCCACTCAGTATGTCTTACATTCATATATACACACATGCATACGCCTATACACACATTACTTAACTGAACATGTATATAAGAAATAAAACATTTTCTTGTATTAATATAGCAGAAAACAGAACAATAACCCACTGAAACTCCTAAAACTCTTGAGAAATCCCATGTACTTTCTTGTTTATATAAGGGCTAAGTAGATGTAAAACTCGTGTCTTTGATTATTTTACAACAAATGAAGTAATCAGGATTATGCAGATGACAGCGGCTGATCTTACGCAACCCTGGCCTCCTATGTCAGCTTCAGGACCTCCTAGATGGGGAGTGGTAAGGTGAAGGGGACCGAGCTGCCTGAGCCACTCGGCTGAGGCGCCCTCACCATGTGGGGCTGCCCAGGAAGCTGCTGGCGTAGGACGGGCAGGAGGCGACTGCACATGGGCTCTGCAATCGCTTCTGATGGTTTTAGAGCTACGCTGCTTCTAGTTATAGATATTACAGTACTGCTCTGTAATCTATAATTTTTTTTTGTAATCTATAATTAGCAACCATACACTTCTACCTTAATTCACTGAGATGAAATAGGTAACTGTTCAGTTACATGTGGAATTAAGAAAACTAGGTAAAAAATAACTAATGAGAGAATTTAGTTTTACACGTGAAGGGAAAATGTTTCTGCCCCATGAGGCACCTCTACCCTTACGTCATTCCAGGAAAAGTCTTCAAACCCCTCCTGCTTCAAGCACAAACTGCCAAGCTGCAGGACAGGCCTCCGCAGGCACAGTCCTTCCTGTGTGCGCTAGGTCGCCTGTTCTTCTTTAATTTTATCTTCTTCTATTTTTAATTATTTAGTATAGGGTCTACAGGGTCTCACTACATAGATCGGACTGATTCTCGTTTTCAGCCTCCTAAACGCTGGGATTAGAGGCGTGCGCCACCAAGCCCAGTCTCAATCACTGCCTCAGTGCCCCCAGGGGGTGGGACAGGGCCAGCAGGCACCCCTGGGATTGAACCCCAGCCCGCGCTGCGCTCTGCCTAAGCAGGCGCTTTAGTCTGCTGAGCTGTCTGGCCAGCCCTTAGACCGCCTGTTCTTAAACCTTCCATATTTTAAGTTATTTCCTTCGATCTCTCTTCCTCTCACGTGAGCACAAGGTCGCCAGGCCAATGGCTTCTAGCTCGGCCCTGCGAAGCCGCACGCATGCGGCTCTTGGGGCTGCTTGGGATCCCAGTGGCCATGCAGAGACAAACTGAGTACCGCTTTCCTCTGTCCAGTTAAGTTTTATCTCAGAAAAGCCCTGTTCTGAGTTGAGCACATGTTCACACCTAAAAATGTGGTATTTTCTCTCTTTTCGTAAAGCCTAAAGGACTTCAGCAGATCAGTGCTGTGAAGGAGAAGCTCCGAAATTCTCCACCGCGTGCCCACTGCATGCGCAGGAGCCCGCCGTCACGTGGCTTTGTTCAGGAGACAGGCCCACACAGCCACTTCAGCACTGCGCAGGGCTCAGGGGTATCATCTTACTGAGAAAGCGGATCTTCTAAAGGAGATGATGCTACAGAAAGAATTTAACAATGTGGGAAGTCTTTTTTTTTAAAGTCAATGTGTGCTTATCCTGTTGATTAGGCACAGTATAGTAGAGAGGAGCTTGTTACAGCTAAGCAAAGCAGTGTCATCTGTTTAAACCCTTCTTCAGTAAATACTTCTTAATCACCTACTACATTGTTCTAACAGTGGGAGTACGGCAGAAAAAGTTCCTTGCTTACACCGAGCTGATGCTGCAGTCTTAGAGAACAAGGCAGCACGTGTGTGTTAGGGTTTGGATGTTCCGCGAGGGCCAAGGCATGCTCTTCGGGAAAATGACTGGTTCACGGGGCTGCTGCTACCTGACGCTAATTTGCTGGAAAGAGAAGGTGGAGCCCGAAGAAAGCAGCTCACGGGGTGCCTGTGGGGACGGCCTGTCTCTGGCCCCGGCCTCCCATCCGCCATGGGTCCGCCTTGTGCAGGCCTAAGGCCCAGACGCCCGCTGTCCAAGGAGGGGAAGCTCTCAGACTATGGACGAGTCGACCTATGTCAGGCATTTTACCAAAATGACAGAAGCTAACCCAGAAAACTGGGAAAAGAAGTAGACCACATCTATGACTATCCCCGACCTCTGTAACTGTTTCTCTGACTATTATCTGTCCGTGGGAAAACCGAAGTGTTCAGAAGTCTTCGGAACTCACTTGTGGGAGGAGCTTGGAAAGGTCTGGGCAGAGCAGGAAAGCTCTGGAACATTATAAATGGGATTTAACAGGCAATCCTGGTGGCAGCTCAGAAGGCCGGAAGGCCTCTGGGAATGCAAACAGTAAAGGCTGCTGACTTCAAAGGGGAGTGAGGTTCCTACTGAAAGCCTGACTAGAGGCCGTTTAGGGCACCTTCCAGCAGAGCTTGCCTGGATTTCGTCCATGCCCTGAAGCACTATGGGAGGCTGAATGTGAAAGCGATAGAGCACTTAATGTGGTGGGAGGGGATCGCAAGGCACACTGAACTGAGGCAGTGGCACGGGTACTGCTGTGTGAATGGGGAGCAAAGGCAGAGGGGAGGACGGGAAAGACCTGCTGGTAGACCGGAAAGGACACTAACGCTGCTGAAGAGAGCAGTACCTTAAAAATAAGCAGAATTACGAGGTACTAGGACAATACACTTGTCCTCAGAGGACCTCTACAGTTCGTCAGGCACTACAGATCCGAGGCTGATGGACAGAAGGTACACACTCCTCAGAACGCTACGGCTATGGGAAAAGCATCCCCAGGAGCCTTGCTTGTGTAAGGCCACCTAGGAGGCCATTTCCCCAAGATTCATCTCACTGTGCTCACCTGTTCAAATGGTCAGCGCCACTGAGCTACGGTCTAAAGAAGCCTGGCTACTGCTGGCAATGGCAGCAGACTACAGCATGTTACACATTGCTGGTTTTACAGGCAGGCAGCACTGAAGAGTTACGGGATCATGGAGGTTGCCACTGATTCCAAAGAAAGGCTTGGGGAGCTAGACACTAAATGGAAGGTCAGAAGCCTTGCAGGCAGCCTTTCAAGTGATACTGCAGGTAGCTGCAGGAGAGAAACAAAAGCTACAGCAGAGACTCCAGCAACCTGGAGATGTGAGGAATACAGAATGTGAGTCAAGGAAAGCGGAAGGCAGTGAGCCGAGTCAGCCCCCGGCAAGGCCACCTTTCGCAGCTCAAGTCATGCCAACGTGTGCCCAAGGGCTGCACATGCACAGCAGGGCTTAATGTCTGCCTGAGGTTGCCAGGCCTTGCTTGGTCCTATCCCTTCACATTATGCCCATATTCTTCTCTTTTGGAGTGGGAATGTCTACCTTACAGGCATTGTTTACCTTGTACACACACGTTGGAAGCATGTAAGTGTTTCTCTTAACTTTTAAGGGAGCTCACAACTCGGTCTGCCTATGCTGGAGCAATGCTGGAACTGCTGAGGCTTTGTTGACCTCTGGAGAGGGGCTGGATGCATTCTGTACTATGAAATGGGCCTTGGGCCTTTGAGAGCATGGTGACATATGATGGTTTGGATCGATTACACCCCTCAAATGCTGCCTGGGGGGCTTCGGGGGAGCATCAGATCATAAAGTCTCTAAAGTCATCAAGTGACTGCTTCAGTACTCAAGGTGGGCCAGGTGGAGGAGGGGATGGTGGAGCCTAGCCTCGGGGCCTCCAGCCCCTCTCCCAGGCTCCCCAATTTCGCTAGATTGCTCGGCTCAGCCGTGCTCTGCAATGCGCAGGCGCCCCCGGGCTCTGCTTCCCCACAGGCCTGGTGAGACAGCGCTCGGAGACTGAAGCGACCGAAGCTGTGAATAACTAAGTCTTTGCTCCTGTATGTTGGTGATGGTGAACCTTTTACAGACGAAACTGCAGCCCCAAACCTGCCACAAGTGCTAATACTGTGATCAAGCCTGAATACTGAGGTTTCAGTTTAGGAAAAACAACTATAAGCCTTGAGACAGCTGCGCAGGAGAGCTCCCCATGCGCCCCGGGACACACAGGCATGGAATCTGATTCGTACTCATGAAAACAAAATTCATTCCCCTTAAGGAGTTTCCTTTCAGTGACAGTCCTCCTCTCTGGCAGCACTTACAATCCGATCTGTAAACCCACGAGTAGAAGGAGCCACCCTGAGGGGGCCTGGCGTCACTGCATGTGTACAGCTTCCTAACAGCACGACTGGACCCCAGCACGGCCTGTGCGTCATCTATTCTCTGTTGATTTGTGTCAGTTGTTTTGTCACAGCAATGGAAGCTAACACCACACCGAACCAAAAACCCTTATTACAAGATCTTAAGATGCAGTACTTACTAAGATATTCTTCCACAGGCCATTACAACGCTATTTACAGAAGATGAATTTAGCTAGACAAGCCACAGGATAATTTGATTAACTTTTTTTTTTTCTGGAAAAAGGAAAATCCATAATGATTCTAAAGTAAATGAGAAATATGGGAAGACAAGGCAGCTACCCAATATTTCCTAACATTAGACCCTGGAGATACGGAAACAAAAGGGCCAACTCTACTCTGCAGCTGCCTACAAAGTCAAGCGAAGGAGACAGGTCGGGGACGTTAATCTCACATATACACACCACTGTCTGGGAACATGGAGAACCTTGTCAGAGACAGAGAAGTGGAGCTTGGAAGCAGGGAGTCAGGAAAGGGGCTCAGAAAACAGGGACATTCCTCCTTTAGTCTGGAGGAACGTGTAGGAAAGGCCAGGTTAAGCAAGGACTAGGGAGGAAGTACCAGAAAAACTAGTTAAGATGACCCACATCAAAGCCAGCAATGTATAAACTACAAGAAGCACGTAACAGGTGGAAAGGTAACCAAGGTTAGATAAATAATACAAGTGATAGGAAGGCAAGAGGAGAGCAGACCTATTAGAGGCTCAGTGACCACAGCTGTTGGAAGAGCGTCTCCCATGAGTATGGAAGGTGGCTTTTGAGCAAGAGGAGGAACAGAAGGGACAGGGAGCAGACCCGATCACTTTTACATCCCTGTTTATAAGTACTACCATATAGGAGGGGACCAATAATACCTCTAGCCTTGCCATCATGTGCTGGCAGCTCTAAGAACAGCAGACACAAGAAAAGCTACACACTCACATTAACTGGGCATTAACCCCACACAAATCCAGGTACAGGCCAAATTCTGTCATCCTATATCTGGTCTATAGGACTTAAAAAGGGGACACTATACTCCCCAGGTGGCAAAAACAATGTCCTCCTGGGCGGCCCAGTAACACACGTCCAGATGCAGCTAAGACATGAATCATCTCTAGAAACACTTCAACGGAATCGGATTCGTACTCATGAAAACAAAATTCATTCCCCTTAAGGAGTTTCCTTTCAGTGACAGTCCTCCTCTCTGGCAGCACTTACAATCCGATCTGTAAACCCACGAGTAGAAGGAGCCACCCTGAGGGGGCCTGCGTCACTGCATGTGCACAGCTTCCTAACGGCACGACTGGACCCCAGCACGGCCCGAATGCTGCCTAGAGGCCGCCTCCTGCTCCTCATCTGTAAGCTCGTTCAACACCAGCACGGCTCTAGTCACAAAGCGAGCACAGGCAGCTGGGTCTCCTCCGCGCTGCTCACCACAGCATGGTTCTTCACGTAGCACGGCTTGCACACAGGCTTGTCGTTAACCATCACGTATACTGCCCCGGCGAGGACGCTGTCACAGTCAAAGCAGCAGAAATGCTTCAGATGCCAATTCTGGTTTTCTGCCTGAGTGTACTCATTGCTAAAGATCAGCTGGGAAGAGGATAAAAATGAAGATTAGTTGGGCATTTTTCATTGTGCTGCAGATGATAAAGTTAGGTTGTTCAGACAGGCACTGAGATCTGCACCTCCAGGCGATCAAACACTTTCCTGGGGCTTAAAGTCTGAACATTAACACTAAACCTGAACTTGTTACTGCACCCTTTTGTATCTGAACAATCTCGCATTAGTTAACATAATTAGCATCTAGAATGATTAGAATACAGTTTATTTTATTAACCTTCTTTGGATGTAAACAAAGCAACTAATGTTAATTCCCACTGCTCTCTGGGTAAGCGGCTGCAGAGGAGGATGCGGAGCCTGCCTGTGAGTGCCCCCCAGGAACAAACCTCGTCACAGCCAGCACACCGGGGCTTCTCACTGTCACAGTAATGCCTGCCACAGTACAGCTTCCCATTCTTCCAGAAATAAATCATGTCAACCAGGAGCTCAGCACAGGCGCTGCAGACGAAGCAGGCGGGGTGCCACAGTTTCTCGTAGCCAGCCCGTTCCGCGTAGATGGCTGGGTCCCCTTCTTTCATGTTTAGTTTGCAGCCATAGCAGGACTGAAAGGGAAGCATCCGAAACAGCCTGGTCACTGGAAGGCGCATTCTTGCCGTCCGCCACAGCAGCCACGCAAAGCAACCAACGTGCGACAAGCGCACAAGAGATGGCTGCCATTGCAGCGCCCAGTCTGTCCACCCAGAGAACGTGCTACTTCTGTGAAATGGAATCTCTCAGCTTTTTTTTTTGCAGGGTCTCACTATAGAGCTTGGACTCACAGTGATGCTCCTGTTTTCTGCCTCCCTAGTGCTGGGATTACAGGCATGGGTGAGCATACCCAGACTCCATCACCAGCCCAGCGTGCCTGGGGACAGGGCTGGCACGGCACGTGGTGCCAGGAATCGAACCCTGGCCTCTGCACTTACCTAAGTAACCGTTTAGTCCGCTGAGTTATCTCACCAGCCCTTCTTGAGGCTTTTCAGCCTACCTTTTTCATCCTATTGTTTCTTAAAAGTCATTGGTGGAGGGGCTGGTGAGATGGCTCAGTGGTCTAAAGCACCTACTTAGAACAAGCTTAGCAGAGCACAGGGACCGTGGTTCAATCCCCCAGCACCACATGCCAGCCAGCCCCGCCCCCTGATGGGCTGAGCTGGCCACACACACACACACAAATA